CCATAAATCTATTCTTGTCGTAAAGGGCGAATTAATTTACCAGGTGGTCTTGATCGGTAACTGTGGTCTCTCACTCACTCACTCACTTTTGAAGGTTTTGGTTTAACCTGTTTAACCACTGCAACCCTCCCGAGCAGCTTGTAGGGAAGTTCTGTGCTGCTTTGCTTGACAACGACGTCAACGGTGACGGCAGAGTGGACGGCAGTGACATCGGCAAAGACGTCCTGTATTACAACTACGACGGTAAGTTCTGTTTAGTAAGGTCGGGTGTGTGTGTGTGTGTGTGTGTGTGTGTGTGTGTGTGTGTGTGTGTGTGTGTGTGTGTGTGTGTGTGTGTGTGTGTGTGTGTGTGTGTTATTGCATTTATGACATGATCAAGTACCGTAGAAAAAGTAAAAAAGACTCCACCATCTGAGGCTGCAATCTAACAATGAGGATGTTTTGCCATTTCTTTGTTCCCGCTTTCCTTATTCTTCTAAGAACATCATATGAGGTCAAACCCGTGCTCATTTTGAAATATCAGAAAAAAAAATCCTGAAAACTTCTAGAATCAGTTTTTTGACATATTTTAGCCTCACTTCTACATTTTGTGTTCGGTAACAATATGGCTTTGATTGTGGAGCACGATATTTGAGAAGAAACTTGGTATTTTATAATTTGACCTTACAGATGACCTTTGCATCATGCAAGAGTGGGAGGTCGTGGCCAGATGGACGTGTAGGTATGGCTTCTCCGACCAATACGGCCGATTCATGTACAAATTATTCGACGCCAACCAAGATGGCCTTGCGACCGCAAACGACTTCAAGACATTCAGTAAGTAAGATATATTTTGAAGATTTGTGTCCTTTCGCTGGCGGTTTCAGCGGGCGACATTCCGTGTAACGTCTAACGATTTAATGAATCATGGAATATCTATAACAGTAACATTTCCGTCCAGAATAGGCTAAGTGGATCGCAATGTCCCTGTCTTACAGCGTCGGAATGACGAACTAAACTGATAGAGAACATCATGAAAACGTCACGTTGTGTTAGTGCCAAAGTAAAACTAGTGTCCGAAATGATTTGTGAAACAGTTTGATTCATGTCGCCCAACCTGCAACATTACGTATTAAAAATAAACGCATGCACCTGAAGTCCAACTAAACAGGTACCAACAATAGGTGCCTGAAACATCGTGTATTTCGAAAGAGCCGCATAGGGTCAAATGGAAACAATTTGGGACCTGTCTGACCATGTGTCACCGTACCCGACGACGTGAGTCGCTGCTGATGGAGTTAATCCCGTGTTAACAATGGTTATTAACAGACAGTCGCGATTTAGCTGGAATTAAAGCGACGTAAAGCAACATTTCACTTACTTTTTTATCTATTTTTTCAGATTTTACCAATGCCGACTTCTTAGCGACGCAATACACTGTAAGTAAATCAACAGTCCGGTTATAAAGAGTAATAATTCGCAAACAAACCAAGTCATTATTTTCAAGGAGTGTTAACCATTGTTTTCTTCATATACTTAATTAAGATATAGTTATAACGGAGTTATATATTAAGTCCCTTTAAATCCGGAGTTACACACACCACTCTCCGATATCAGTATTGTAATTTCATGACATGTGATAATGTCACTGGTTTAGTAATATAAACTTTCATTTCGAATACCTTCCCATATGCCCAAAGACCAGATGCTCAATCGTTCACTCGTCACGTCGGTTCACTTCATTTGTAGGAAGCCCATTGTTGGTGTACCCTGTCCAGATTTGACATAAATATTGTGAAAGCAGCATAACACAGCAATCATTCACTCTACTTATTCCGTTAGTCGTGGGTTCGAATTAAACGTTGATAGCCTGTGTTACTTTCATATTTGATCACACATTACACAATGACCGAAGTAGTATCATGTACTACCCAAAGAGCGATAGGTATCCATTTCACTCACTCACTCTCCTCCTGTCTTCAGCGTTTCAAGAACATGTACTGCGGTGACCCTAAGAACAGGGAGGACCCCGTTGACCGAGTCCAGTGTGCCGAGGTGAATGCACTGAAACCAGAGGACGTCAAGTGCACATAAGAAGGACCCACATTCACCTGTAATGTAGAAACGTCAATAAAGCTGTTGGTAATAGCAAGTGTTTTGTCCTCCCTTGGGAAATTGTCAATGATGCCGTGTGTATGTTACTTTGTAAGAGAAGGCCTCCGTGGTCTAGTGGTAGAGCGTCTGCCTGTAGAGCTGAAGGTCGGGGGCTCGATCCCCGCCGCGTCATACCAAAAGGTGTTAAAAGATAGTACTTGGTGTTTCACTGCCAGGCGCTCGGCATTAAGGGCTGGTGGGCTCGGAGTTAGTATACTGTGTCTGAGTGAGGTATTCGTGTTAAAAGGTGGCATTTGTATCCGGGTGTGCTAGCACGCACGCACGCACGCACGCACGCACGCACGCACGCACACACGCACACACGCACACACACATACACACATACTCACACACACATACTCACACACTCACTCTTGCACGTCGCTACTTAAGTGCAATAATCTTGACCGGAACGTTAAATCTCACCTCACCTCACCTACTTTGTTCGATGGTGCTTGTAGAGATTGTAGTGATTGAGGGGCGGTGGGGTAGTCCAGAGCTTAAGGCGTTCGATCGTCACACCGAAGGCCCGGGTTCGATTCCCACGTGGGTACAATGTTGGAAGCCAATTTGTGGTGTCCCCTGATGTGATGCAGCTGGAGTATTTCTAAAGGCGGGCAAAAACCATACTCACATACTCACATACTCACTTGTAGTCATTGATGGGGGCGGTCGGATAGCCTAGTGGTTAAAGCGTTCGCTCGTCACGCCGAAGACCCGGGTTCGAATCCCGACATGGGTACAATGTGTGAAGCCCATTTCTGGTGTCCCCCGCCGTGATATTGCTGGAATATTGCTAAAACCATACTCACTCACTCACTCACTCACTCACTCACTGTAGTCATTGATTCCACAAACAAATTTAGAACTGGACAAAACAGAAATCTTTGGATGTCTTTGGAGCTCTATATTTGTTCATATACTTAAACATGCTTAAATTGCAAATATCGTGAAAGGTGATTGCGAATATCAATTTTACTAAATACATTAATTCAATTCCCGAGAGAAAATTCATTGCATTCGTAGAAAGTATTTAAATGTCCAAGTGAAAGTGTAAACATCACACGCTCCGTAAACGGATTAAAAAATCCTATTTGGAATACATATATCGGCATTCACGTACCCCTAGAGGTAATATAAATATCGGAGGAAGAAAGGGGAAAATAGACACATTTTCATTAAGTTATCGTTCTTGTCTCCAGAAAAACGTCTCGATTTCAGATGGTGCATATTGTCTTTAGACAATCATATCTATTGTTAATTATAATTTTATGCGTGTGTGTAATACCGATGGATAAAACACTTTGAAAATAAATCAATATGAAATGTGATCTGGTCTTATAGAATCAATAAGGATTATTTTGTTCATGAAATTCTTCAATAGTCCAACAGTCAACTCTCGTCGAGCAATATTCCTGCAGCTCCAGCATTTTGAGGTACAATCGAGCGTGCTCTTTCTACCAATATTTCAAAGAGCGCCTCACAACTCTTGCTCAGAAGTTGATCAAGGTTACAACATTCAAGCTCTCATGATCATGATATTGTCGGAATCGTACAATCAACTCTGTTTTTGGCAGAGAGTTTTAATGAATATGGACCTGGTTTTGTCGCTTATAATAGAGAGGCTGCTTGACAGTAAAAATGGCAAAAGATTTAATTGTTTTAACGCTGTTGTTTTAGCCGTCCGAGAGAGAGAGAGAGAGAGAGAGAGAGAGAGAGAGAGAATACAGAACTGAGCAAAACAGATGACTACAAAATGACTACAAAATCAGGGTGAGAGAGTATACGGAAGGCGTCAATTGTGTGACGCATCGTTGTCTGTATGCCTACATGGTGCCTGTGTGACGCATGGTTGTCTGTATGCCTACATGGTCACGGTTTGTGTGACACATGGTTGTCTGTATGCCAACATGGTGTCTGCGTGACGCATGGTTGTCTGTATGTCTTCATGGTGTCTGTATGACGCATGGTTGTCTGTATGCCTACATGGTGTCTGTGTGTCTGTGTGACGCATGGTTGTCTGTATGCCTACATGGTGTCTGTGTGTCTGGGTGACACATGGTTGTCTGTATGCCTACATGGTGCCTGTGTGACGCATGGTTGTCTGTATGCCTACATGGTGTCTGTGTGTCTGTGTGACACATGGTTGTCTGTATGCCTACCTGGTGTCTGTGTGACACATGGTTGTCTGTATGCCTACATGGTGTCTGTGTGTCTGTGTGACACATGGTTGTCTGTATGCCTACATGGTGCCTGTGTGATGCATGGTTGTCTGTATGCCTACACGGTCACGGTTTGTGTGACACATGGTTGTCTGTATGCCAACATGGTGTTTGTGTGAAACATGGTTGTCTGTATGCCTACATGGTGTCTGTGTGACGCATGGTTGTCTGTATGCCTACATGATGTCTGTGTGACACATGGTTGTCTGTATGCCTACATGGTGTCTGTGTGTCTGTGTGACACATGGTTGTCTGTATGCCTACATGGTGCCTGTGTGACGCATGGTTGTCTGTATGCCTACACGGTCACGGTTTGTGTGACACATGGTTGTCTGTATGCCAACATGGTGTTTGTGTGAAACATGGTTGTTTGTATGCCTACACGATGTTTGTTTGACGCATGGTTGTCTGTATGACTGCACTATTTCCTGTACGACTGCACGAATACAAAACGAAACAAAACGGGTTGCCTGATAGTGGCTGGTTCTGCAGTACCATACCTGTCACTAAGAAGGTCGTGGCATTGCAAGGGGATATACGAACGTAATCTTTTCTAAACGTTTGCTGACGTATGCGTCTCAGTTATCAAACATAGTTGGGGTCATGTTGGCCTGTTGAGGAATGTTCTCAGGTCGAGGCAAATATATACCCCTCAACTGTTTTCACACAGGGTTACGCTGAAGAAATTATAAGGCACTATGCTGGTACTTGCCACTGAACCAAACTATACTTTCTATGGGCAGTAAGACGTGGAATGGAGTTTTACTTGTTCACAGTACGACCAGGTAGGAGGATTTTTCTTTTTCCAAGTTAGACCTCATTCTTTCTATGAAGTTTTCCTTGTGAGATTAAATTTGGACTTGTTTCAAACGTCAACTCGAAGACAAGAACTGAAACCTCTCATTATGGATGACGGGAAATAGACCAACAACCTCCTGATCAGTGGTTAGGCACTCTAACCATTAGACCACAGAACTGGTTAAAATTGGTGGTTCATTTGAAAGTACCACCGAAGGAGCTATTCAAAATATTGTCACGTCATCTTAAACCTTGAAACCCTTGATCCAGCTTTTAACCCGGATATCCTGACATAGCACTTTGGCCTGTCCTTTACTTCTTGAAACTGCAAGTCATATAGAGCACCTGCAGATTAGACCTGTCTTTCTATCAACGTAAATATGTATTTACTTTATACTTAGTAGATGACACCTATATATTTCAACACGGGCAAAAATGTTGATTCCTCAGTAGAGTAGATCACAAATGCACAATGCATCAGCTGAGTCAATAAGTGACCTGGCGAAATGTGTGTCAGCGGGACCCAGGACCCAGGACCCAGGACCCGAGGGTATTAAACGCTTATCATGTATTTTTAGCCACTGGGGAAAATGGCCCAGACTCGATTATTTAAAGGCTGCATTTACAGAGTTCAATCATTCACGCACTACTTGACTCTGAGTTACCTCAATATGAACATTAAGAACATCAGAGCGTCGTGTCCAAAGTTGACTCTAAATCAGCTTCATTTTACCATATCTGTGACAACCCCAGCCACAGCATTCAGTGGGCCCCGTGAAGGTCCGGGGTAGAATAGGTCTTCAACAAAACCATGCTTGCCGTAAAAGGCGACTATTGATGTCGTAAAAGGCGACTAACGGGATCGGGTGGTCAGGCTCGTTGATTTAGTTGATGCATGTCATCGTATCCGAATTGCGTTGATAGATGCTCACGGTGTCGATCACTAGGTTGTCTGGTCCAGACACGATTATTTATATACCGCCTCATATAGCTGGAATATTGCTGAGTACGGCGTTAAACAACAAACAACAAACAAACAAAGCATACAGTGGGACAACATCAAAACCCTTACAACCAGCCTCAAAGACTTCAAGATTAGGAATTCAAAAGAGCAATCCACGTCAAAAACGCCAACCATCAATCAACCGTGATCAAGTCACCATCTGCGCACCATCAACTCATCAAAGATTCTAATCAGCCGTAATACCCAGTAGTCGTGTACCCGCCGGTGTTCATAACCTGCTTCTCCACAATAACACCTCAAAATGTTTGATACAATCCGATCACTAAAGCGTAATGCTGTATATCTGAACATGTAAATGCCCATTTTAAAAGGGAAATTCGTAGACGGAAAATGCTATATATATATAACTCAATAATAATTAGAAATCCCTCGAGATAATGTGTTCGACTTGGCCCCTAGCAACCGACAGCGTAAATCGATGTTTACAATGTCAATCACTGATTGTTTGGTCAAGACTCGGTAATGTATAGGCACGATGTATTGCTAAAGCGGCATAAAACCAGAAACAATAATAATAACAATAATAATAATGTAAAGGCTGGGTGTTTGTGTTCTCAACAAACACACAAAGCACACTCACACGTGCGCGCGCACGCACGCACGCACGCACGCACGCACGCACACACACACACACAAACACAAACACAAACACACACACACACACACATGTACGCGCGCAGACACACACACCGTCAAATTCACGAAACGTATGCCATGATCAAATGAAGATAGATTCCAATCGTACATTATGATCCTTGATTTGTCAGTGGTCGTGCTAGTGGGTTTCGTCAACCTGCTTCACAACCTAATCTGCAATTACTTCGGGCTCCCCTAACTGAACTGGACTGAACTTTATTTCCACTTAGGCATCAGAGGTACAAAATTATTTCAACAACATTATACATATACATATAAACATAGAATATATACAAAAACATCTTTGCTGAGCATGCATTCATATTGGGTAACAACATATGTGCAATTCAATGAGGGCGGGGGGGGGGGGGGGGGGGGGGCGGGGGGGTGGGGGGGGTACTCTTTAAGGTTGAGTCCCGTCCGGGATTCGAACCCACACTGCCAGAGTGAGGCAATCAGTTTCACTCAGTGTAATTTAAATCGGAGCATTGACGCATCGGTGTATGTATTGTGAGGTATTGACACGTACCTAAGTGACAGTAGTTGCTGGTGTTATAGTGTAGAGTCCCGGAACTGACCGGTCAACCTTATAATAACGTAAGGAGGAAGGAAGTACCTCCGATAGGTGTCAGCAGTGGTATCTCCATGTGAATGTGGACGTCATACAGCATCCCTCTGCGGAAGTACGTTACGTTGGATGGACAGAGACGTGGCATCCTTGTAAACAGGCATCCTCAGCTCTTGAAATAGTTTCCATGACAACACATTATTAGTATTACTATGTGTTACTGAACCATGGTTCACATTGCATTTAAATTCAATAAACATCTTCAGTTAAAACAAATGGCTGAATGGTTTATTTCTTATCCACTCTGGATTAATTGACATCATATAATTCTGATGAAATGAGATTTCTTTCATTGTAAAATAAGCAATAACACGGTCGATGTTTGCTGACATGGGTATATGTAAAACAAGCTGAGTTTCTTAAAATCCTCTCAAGTCCAGCAAACGTACAGTTCAGGCGCTCGTGACAACATGGATGTACATGCAACTCGGCAAGCATTGTTGTCAGCCTCGATTCTAAAATGCAGTTTGCAAAATGTGGACACCCCTCCTCTGGACCCTCACATGTCAAAGCTCCCTGCGTCTGCCTCCAATTGGGGCGGAGCTAGCACACAGGCTGAACAGTCGAAAACGGATCTGGCCAAAGCTAGAGTCGTTATCCAGTACATTCAGACACGTTCGTACTTTTCGTATTTTACTTAAATACTTTACTTTATCTTTATTCATTTGTACTGATGAATGACTCGTTTCATTTTCAGTCGTACGACATAGCAAGTTGCCACCCTCAGTGTCCGCTGAATATGTATTACTGAAGTTGCTATAATACTGTCTGTGATGTTATATACTGTCTGTCATGTTATATACTGTCTGTGTTGTTATATGCTGTCTGTGTTGCTATTGTATTACTACTCAAAAACAATCATCGTGTCAACAGCATTAATCGTGTTATAGTTTATACTGTAACTATTGCTACAGTTAGTTCATACTGTCACTATTGATAAGTTAGTTTATACTGTCACTATTGCTATAGTTAGTGTATACTGTCACGATTGATATAGCCAGTTTATACTGTCACTATTGAAACAGCTAGTTTATACTGTAACTATTGCTACAGTTAGTTTATACTGTAACTATTGCTACAGCTAGTTTATACTGTAACTATTGCTACAGTTAGTTTATACTGTTACTATTGATACATTTGACTGATGTTCGTGTTATCGACCACTACTTTGCTGGTTAGGACATGTGCAACAACACCCCGCAGGCCCAGATCAATAATTTGACAAACTCATAACAATTGAAACGCCATTACCTCTATGAGTTTGCTTGCAGAATGCTTGCCCTCCGACTCACCGTGTCCGCCCTCCTCTTCTGTGGGACCTGTGGTTTCTCCAGGTATATCAAGACATTCACTAAATAAGCTCTTATCACAACTACAATTCCTACAATTTTATCTTAGAATGTCAAACATCTCCAGAATCGAACCCCGGTGGCTTGGGTCTTGGCACTCACTGTCACTCACTATATCACCCAACTCACTCACTCACTCACTATATCTCCCAACTCACTCACTCACTATATCTCCCAACTCACTCACTCACTCTATCACCCAACAAACTCACTCACTCACTATATCTCCCAACTCACACACTCACTATATCACCCAACAAATTCACTCACTCACTATATCACCCAACTCACTCACTCACGAAATCTCACAACAAACTCACTCACTCACTATATCACCCAACAAACTCACTCACTCACTATATCACCCAACTAACTCACTCACTCACTAAATCTCCCAACAAACTCACTCACTCACTCATGTTTCTTGAAGGTACTGGTTTAACCAGCTTAACAACTGCAACCCTCCTGAGCAACTGGTGGGGAAGTTCTGTGCTGTTGTGGTGGACAACGACGTCGACGATGACGGCATAGTGGACTTCAGAGACGTTCAAAAACAAATCCTGTATTTTGACTACGACGGTAAGGACTGTTTAGCGAGCAACCATTTGATAACCTGGAAGGGGGACTGGAATGTCCTTACAAAGTACGTTTACTGAGGGAAATAGTTGCCGAAAACATATGACAGGCACAACTTACAGAGATCATAGAAGGGACAGGATGGGTAAGGGCACTTGTTAACCCTCTGGAAAGAGAAAAAAATAACATTGCGGAAAATATCTAATGAAGACAGTGATATGAACTATGTATTCATGTGTATTCAATTATCTTTATTCAGGTGTATGTATTCAGGCTGCAGTGTTTGGCAGTCTTCACATTCTCCGAAAAGTTATGGATTGGTTTGAGAGTTAGCTTTCTGGGAGAAGTCACATTCGCTGTCTGGGCTGCGTGTAGAGGGGGCAAGGGCCCTGAGCTGATGATGAGCCTAACAGGCATGAGTGTGCCAGGATCACCCGAACCCTCTTTGATGCATTTTTTATTTTAATCTATGAATAATAATAATAATAATAATAGGGAGGTAGAAGAGGGAGGGTCAGCCAGTATACTTGGAGGAGTGATTGACCTCTCGTAAAAGGTCGGAATTATACGAACTTTTGAATGCAGGTTAGGGACAAACTCCAAAATGCCCATATCAAGGACAAACAAATTTAAACTCAAGAAAATATGGAGTTCAGAGCTGAACGCTCGCAATAAAGTTAAAGCCACCAATACTTATGCTGTATCCGTCCTTTCCTAGTCTTTTGGTGCTGTTAAATGGACGAAACAAGAAATTCAGGGTATTGACACCCTCACACGAAGAATCATGTCAATAGATCCCACCACCCTCACTCATCCCTCAATCGCCAATCATAATGGGAGGGCGTGGATTTATTAACGTGGAGGCTCTTCATGATAGAATAATTTGTATTCTGCGCATTTATTTGTCTGATGATCCTCTTGGGTAGCATGTCAAGACTCCAGATGAAAACAAGGCATTCCGCAGTTTTCTTAAACAAGCCAAGTATGTGGGACATAATCTCAATGCCAGTGTTGATTTTGTTGATGGTTCTGTACTGCTGGACGGTACAGAAATGAGTGTCAACCAAGCGAAGTGCCATTATCAAGTCGGCCCAGACTCAGGTGTTCAAGGAGAGGCTAACTGGACAAATTATGTGCAGTGTGTTTAGAAGATCAGCAACCCTTATACCTTTTAATGATGACCCAAACAACTATGGTATTTGTGAAAAACATTGTATTTCTCAATCTAACCTACAGATGACCCTTGCAGCTTGCAGCAGTGGGAGGTCGTGACCAGGTGGACTTGTAGGTACGGCTACTCCGAGGACTACGCCCGATTCATGTACACGCTCTGGGACCCCAACAAAGATGGCGTTGTGAACGCAAATGACTTCACTGGATTCAGTAAGATATATTTTCAAGATATGTGTCCATCAGCTGTTTTAGCGGACGACTTTTGGTGTTTAGTTTAAATAATTCAAGAATCATGGAATATATATTACAGTAACCTTTTTATACAGAATAGACTGAGCGCACCACAATGTCTTACAACGTCGGAATGAGAACTAAACTGAACGAAACATTGAAAACGTCACATTGTTCAAGTGTCTTTGTGAATCTCGTGTCCGAAATGATTTGGGGAAATATTGATTTGATTTAAGATTCCCGACCTGTAACATTACATGTAAACGCATGTATCTGAAGGTCATCACAACATCAGATGATACTGGTTCAGTCAGTTGCAGTCCTTGTTTGTCAGATTCAGCCGACGCACCCCTGCTCCCTGTTCCCAGCGTGAGTCGATGCTCATGGTGTGAATCCCGTGTGTACTGATGGTTAATCACAGGCAACCGTGATGATATATAGCTGGAACTAAAGCAACGTAAAGCAACATTCACTTACTTTTTTATCTTTTTTTCAGATTTTTCCACTATCGACTTCTTATCGATTCAATATATTGTAAGTAAATATACAGTCAATATTTGTCTGTTTAATCCCATGTCACGAACACATTTTATTTCAACATCACTCTCCAATGTCAGTATTGTATTTTCATGGCATGTTATTATGTCACTGGTTTGAATTATACAAACGCTTATATCGAATACTTTCCCATATAGCCACAGACCAGAAGCTGAAGCGTTCACTCGTCACGTAGGTTCAATTCATTTGTAGGAAGCCCATTTGAGATGAAATCAATCACTCTGTCTTATTCCGTTAGTCGTGAGTTCGAATCCCTGATTAAAAGTCGAAACCCTGCGTTACTTTCAGAGTTCATCACACATTAAACACTGACTGAAGTGACATCACACATTAACTACCCAAACAACGCTTGATATCACTTTCACTCACTCACTCACTCTTCTCCTGTCTTCAGCGTTTCAAGGACATGTACTGCGGTGACCCGAAAAACAGGGAGAACCCCGTTGACCGAGTCCAGTGTGCCGAGGTGGATGCACTTAAGCCAGATGACATCAAGTGCACATAAGGATGACCCACAATCACCTGCAACGGACCTGTCATTTAATGCTTGAAAAAAATTATTATGCTTTAGACCGTTGAAAAAAAGAAACTGACACCAAAAATGCCTCTTTGCCACGTTTAGTTTAAAACATATCTGGAGTTGCAGTTGTTACTGAAACATATCCAGTTTCCCTCCAAAATCCCAGCAGATTATCGGAAACTAATGTAGACACGTCAATAAAGCTGTTGGAAATAACAATATTTTTGTACTCCCTGGGGAAGTTGTCAGTGGTTACCATCAACGCCGGGTGAGTGAGGGGCGGTGGGGTAGCCTGGAGGTTAAGGCGTTCGATTGTCACACTGAAGGCCCGGGTTCGATTCCCCACATGAGGACAATGTGTGAAGCCCATTTCCGGTGTCCTCCACTGTGATATTGCTGGGATATTGATAAAAGCTGGGTAAAACCATATTCACTCACCTGAAGTGATTTATCATAATCCCTCAAACAAATGGACTGGACAAAACAGATTAAATGCAGATTCACACTCATGTACTCATACCACAAGGTGTTAAGACATCTGTATTTATTGATAACCTAAACATGCTAAAAGGGCTAGTCTCATGGGTAGGTACAACTTTGCAGAACTGGATAGATCAGAACATCGTTAATGCAAATGTCGTATTCAAACATCGAAAACTACATAAGGTCAATTTGCGCTTTAGCAATTTCAAAGACTGAAACGAAAATACAGCGAGGGCAGACACTTTATACGTGGAGTCTCCATATATGGTTACTATTGCAGGAGGAATCCTCAAAAATCACAGCCACCAATCCCTCTGGTGTGTTCTGGCTGTAATGTTATAGAGGTAGGGCAGTCAAAGGAATTATCAAACAAAAGTTATCATTACATCATAGCCACAATTCCTGCAGTTTGGCTAATATCACACTGAAAAATGCCAACAGACGTCCACTTCACTGTCACCATCCCAGCCAGTTGTGAGATAAACCGTACCTCGTGCAAAACCCTGTGCACATGGCTGGAATCGTCATCTCTTTACAACCACTACATCCACTAGATGCAGATTTATTGGGGAGGTCAGAGGGACTACTCCCTGTGGTAGTATTCTAAGAAACATAGTTAATGGGAGATTGGCGGGATCTAGCATATAGTAATCCATGACAGCTTTTGAAAATACCTTGATACCTTGATAAAATACCGTCATATGTGACATCTTAATTACGTCACTTCCGGTCTTATGACGTCGCCTCTGATTCTTGTGACATCACTTCTGACTGATGACGTCACTTCCGTTTCTATGAGTGTTCTCCTTCCGTTGTCACATCCTCCTACGGCGTCACCCCCGGTTGCTTTGACGTGACATAAGTGTAAACTGTCGTCACTTCCGTAGAGCAGTGGATCACATCCAGAATAGATTGAACCCCAGTGATTACCAAGATCTGTCCCGCCCTATGCCAACTTACTTTGTTTGGTGTCAAATCCTGGATTTCTCATCCCGGCCAATCACCTTCACTCCCTATAGAAAAAGGGCGAAAGGTTCCTGGGATACTATAGCATGGGCGGCCACCAAAGTCCACAAGCATAATATAGACCCCTAAATCTGGGTACATGTCACTCAAGTAGAAGTTGGTAAATGCATTTTGGGACCTCCACTGACAACTCGCTACAACTTGTTCTGAAGCTGATGGCCAAGAAGCTAGCGAAGTTCATAATGCTCTGACCTCATGAGCCATGATGTAGGCTTTTCAATAGTGAGTGAGTGAGTTGGGTTTTAACGCCCCTTTTAACAGTATTTCAGTTATACCGCGGCGTGTCAGCTTAATGTGGGAGGAAAGCCCGAAGTGATGCAGGTCTCAGACATTTACCACTTCGGTGAAACCCACGAGCACGGGTATGATGATGACATCGGGGCCAACCGGGATTCGAACCCACAATCATAGGTTTCTGGCGTGTCCAATGGACGCAACTCTGCACAGCGAATCGCGGCGCCTTAGACGACTGGGCAACCCGTGCCCCCTGCTTTTCAATACCATTGCTATAATTACAAATACTTGATTTAGGTACTCAAGTTAATCGATAGTGTACCCTATTATTATGTACGAAAAACATTACACAAATCAGGATATTCTGCACGTACTGGCAAGAATGCAAAGACGTTTACACGTGGGTTTAATATAGGTAATTCCATTTGGGTAATGTAAAGGCGAAGAAGTACACAGGTTGTTTTAACTGATACCGCTTTGGTATGAAGAACATCTCCTGGGTGAAGGGTGAGTGAGTGAGTAATGTTTCACTCCACTTTAGCAAGAACTCTGCAATATCATGATGGGGATGGCGTGAAGCTGTCAGAAATAGGTTTGACACATTGTAACCATGTAAGTAATCTAACCAGAATCTTCCACGCGAACCACGCTTTAACAAGTATACAGCCCCACCAGCCATTTGTTTAAGTGTCATGGACATAACTGAACATCTAATAGAACTGTGTTAATTAAAGGGTCCATTTCGAAAACAATAACATGGAGGGGATCAAACTTTCTGAAATGTTCAGGTGCTTCACTGAGTGGGTAAAAGTTTATTTATCACCGTGTTAGAGGTGAGGTGAGGTGAGGTGAAATGGGGTTTAACGTCGCATCCATGCGTGCGTGCGTGCGTGCGTGTGTGTGTGTGTGTGGCTGCTTGTACTAGACAGGGCGCCAGACAGGTTAACAACAAGTACCATCTTTTAACGTCTTTTGGTATGGCGCGGCCGGGGATCCCGTGTTAGAATAGGATATAAAGCGAGGGTAGCTGTTTTGTGATTTGTGACAGCTGAATCAGAACAGTGAATAAGTGAGGTGGGTAAAAGGCCGCTTTTGAACAGCTTTCTCTCATAAACACGATGTGCCGTCTTGGTCAGTGAGAGGAAGTCTAAAACAATGCAGGCTTTACCACGAGCACGGCATAGTGTTGATAAATCTAAAATTTGGGTCAATCTGGGATTCCAACCCACAATCATGCCCGTGAAATATACATCTAGGCAATGTGACATGACCAAACGACAGATGAGTATGTATCACTTTATTAACACAGGATTACGTTTATCGTCCTTGTGGTCACGTGACCGACGCCCCCTCCGTTGCCATGACAAACATGATGGTTTAGGAGGACCATATGGGTGAGGGTTTCCTGTACTTGTAGACGATGTTCGTATACTTCAGCTGAAAAAAAAACAGACAAAGAGTGGGCTTTCAGTTTTACCAAATCCACATATTCTTGTTTTCGTTTACTGATTTAATATAACTGAGGATTTCTGGGTGTACCAAGTTATTTTTGTGTCAGATGTGTACATGTTAACCTCAAATTACATTACACCTTTCTGCTTTTGCATGGTACACACAAACACGCACGCACGCACACACACACACACGCACGCACGCACACATACACACACATAGACACTTTGGAAGCAAGGTAATAAACGTTTCTATGATATTCCCGAATTACACTCTGGCGGAGATCAGCATCAGAGATGAGAAGACATGAATCCTAGCTGTATCTAAGCGATCAATGGATGTGGGATAGTAAATGCGGAGCAGTACAAAGCTACGATTTAGCAGCAATCTGCCGACGCGTCATGAAATACCTCTGCAAGGTAGACCTTGTTTTCCAAATCTGCGAGCGTGAACATGAGACCCTGGAAGGCTTCACACACAGACACTCGGCCATCACCTGCCGGCAAATAAAATTCATTGTCTGGTGACTTCTCATCGTTTTGTTTGTTTGTTCTTTAACGCCACACACTCGTCCATCTACATGGCGGTGGTCAGTACTAAATTGAGCCCAGACCAGACAATCCAGTGATTGACATCATTAGATCGATCAACGCAAATGGGATACGATGACATGCATCAACCAAGTCAGCGAGCCTGACCACAAGATCCCGTAAGTTGCCTCATGCGGCTGGCATAGGTTTGGTAACTGAAGATCCATTCTAATCCGATCTTAACGTTTGACTCATCAATCCTGCATTCAACATATGGCTTATTTGATTGCTGGGTGTTCGTGTTCGTAACTATGTCAAGGTATCGTATACAATTGATTCACTACCCACCATCTTTATCGAGCATGTTGAAGTTGCCCTGGTCCGCAGTGGAGAACCTGAGGTCACTGTTGACGTCCTCAATGTCGAAGAGGCGACCTGCGACCCCCGTGCTGATTCCATACCGCTTCTTATAAATCATTACGAAGGTGCAACGATCGACTCCAGCGGCAACTGCATAGGAAAAGAGTGAGTGAGTGAGTATGGTTTTACGCCGCTTTTAGCAATATTCCAGCAATATCACGGCGGGGGACACCAGAAATGGGCTTCACACATTGTACACATGTCGGGAATCGAACCCGGGTCTTCGGCGTGACGCGCGAATGCTTTACCACTAGGCTACCCGACCGCCCCGCATAGGAAAAGAACATTCGAAACGTAACCTGCTCAAGACAGGCCAGCGGGACAAACTTTTGTTGTTGTTATTCCTTGTTCTGATTTACTGACATATTTCATGTGAGCTAGTGTATTTGTCAATCGCTACGTTCTAATACTCGCTCGTGCATTTATCTGACAAATTCCCTCAATATTTGGTTCTCTAATCCGCCGACCCCACATTTTTCCAGAAACACATAAACCCAAATGCAAACAGGTTTCAATGCTATAAATATTTGAAATAAACCGAAAAGAGGACGGAGGTAAATCATGCATAGAAGTATTCCAGCCAGGACGTTATAAATGATTTGGGGCAATTTCTTGAGAACACCGACCCTGTCGTTTTCAGAATGAAGACCCTCGACAAACCAGTTAGTGCACGCAAGGCGTAGAGCGTTAGATATAAAGTGATTGAGGTGCTCTTAATTTTATTACTACGATGCCTCTCGAAAGACTGATTATATACTCCAGGTATACAAACTGAATGCATTTCAATGGTTATGCAAATAACGTGTTATAATTTAGCGTCAAGTCGGCTAAACTCAGCCTGGTAACAACGACAAAAATATATTCAATAGAATGCTCATAACGTGGACAAAACAATGTCAATATCAAGATTTCATACAAACCAAACTATGATCTGTGGGTATTCCGCTCCATTATGTTCCATGACATCGATATTTGGATTTAAAGATATTGATGAAGGTGAGGTGAGGTGAAATGGGGTTTAACGTAGCGTCCAAGATTACTGCACTTATATAGCGACGTGCATGTACGTGTGTGTGTGGCTGCTTGTACTAGTCCGGACTGATGCCGATTTATAGTGCTAACACAGTGAGATACCATACCGCAGTTTAACATGAATACTCCACTCAGACACAGTATACTGACTCTGAGCCGACCAGTCCTTGTTTTAGCCCCTTAATGCCGAGTGCCAGACAGGGTAACAACAAGTACCATTTTTTAACGTCTTTTGGTATGACGCGGTCGGGGATCGAACCCCGGACCATCCGCTCTCCGGGCGGACGCTCTACCTCTAGACCACGGAGGCGGTCTATATTGATGAAGTAATTCATGGGTACAATATGCATAGCCCTGCACCACAGAGGAATGATTCAGTCCCTTGCACTTTATTGAAGCATTTTAGGAAAGTGAGTGAGTGTCCTGGGGTTTTAATTCGGTTTTGAACACCATTTCATATTACATCGTGTAAAAGTCTTGCAGGTGGTGACTCGTCATCAGAGTTTGGATGATCCTTGCACAGCAAAGGGGTGCAACTCTGCATTGCCACTTGTGGCAGCAGAGACGACAATACCTTTTCCTATTTGGAGATGGGAATCATTGCTATAATGCTTTAGTGTAGCTCCCGGTACTGTTATTTGTATTCACTATAACGTCGGGTAAGATGTCAAGCCAATGTAGCATAAGTAGATGTACAAGGTGATTCTGAATAACCTTTGTATCAATAATAAAACAATTACTTACGGTTAAAAGCACTGTCGATGGTGGCTGCAACAGTAGAATTCCTAGTTTCGACTGAAGTGACGTAACCATCATTGTTGGTGTCGAACGATTTGAGATCTTCCAGAAATTGACGCGTGTCGATATCAGTCATGGAATTGTTGGAGAGTCTGCGAGAATACAGAATTATGGAGTCAAGCGTCACATTTAATAATGTTTATGAACTACGCACATTAAACAATCCGAGAACAAAACTACAACATATACAAGAAAAACGACTTGATGCAACCAAGCCTTAGTCTTGAGGCAAGACAACCCGTTGTTCTATGCTAAAACAACGTTTCTCAACGTTGCAGGATATTGCCACTCTGTCCAACAAATCCCCCTCAACGTGATTCGTCTACTGTGTATTGCGGGTACTGCAATTCAGCACTGCCAACATAAGGACCCGAGGACACAAAATGGTCCCAGCAGGTCATGCATGTGGTCAGAGACGACTCAAGAGGGGATCACGTGGCAAATTATCTGTTGACGTATCCTGAATGATCGCTGCTTTTGTTATCAGCCAATGGCTTGTCTAGTCTCTATTCTATTTCTCGGTAATACTTGTAGTATTGCTCACCACAGTCTTTAACCACTCGTGACACATGGGTGTATATAAATGCGAGAAAACCCTTTCCATAACCATGACATATATCTGCTGAAGCACAATCTATAATTGTACGATTAGGGGCGTTCGGTAGCCTAGTGGTTAAAGCGTTCGCTCGTCACGCCGGAGACCCGAGTTCGATTCCCGACATCGGTACAATGTGTGAAGCCCATTTCTTGTGTCCCCAGCCGTGATATTGCTGGAATATTGCTAAGAGCGGCGTAAAACCATACTCACTAACTATTGTGGGATTCTGACATCATAAGCATGCGTTTATATGCGTGGTGATACCAGGTGATCGCGAAAAGATGAGCGTATCCTACCCTACCTGTGGTACCCGTCATTTATAAATGCACAGGTAAGTCAATTGTTCACCTGAACAAAATACGATAACATAAGCCGTATAGTATAGTATTGAATAGAATCTTAGTTATGTATTCAGATAACCGTTAGAGGAACTCCCCAAGTGACACAGGTCGTAGGCGATAACTACTTTGCAGAATTACATACACGCGAGACCGGAGCATGAATAGCTCAGTTGGCTAAGATATGCAGATGTGTGTCTCATATTTTGTGCCGTGACCGTATTGTCGTGGGTTCGAATCCCACATTCCTTCTAACTATCACCCATGGTTTGGTAGCACCATACCAGTGCTCGCGGGTTTCTCAAGAGTGGTAAGCGTGTAACACGTGCATCACCTCGTTCCCTTCTCCCACAGCAGGCTGACACACAAGGCGTTCTGGTACTTACAAGCTGTAGTTATTATAAATGTACGACTGATGTAAGACATGTCGAAATTTAAACATTGAAATACTATATTTGTAGTTCCTACCTGCCCTTGCTTTGGATTTGGAAGGAGCCGCATTCTGTCATCTTGTTGTTGCTGAACCAGCTTCCCGAGGCAGATACAGAACCCACGAATAGGACCAGACACAACAACGCTCGGTACATCATCTGTATGGAAAGATGTGAATGGGTTTACAAGAGCTTGGTTTATTTACTCCAAAGGCTTTTTTTATTCAGCAGCACAACAAAACAATGAAGAAACACACACAAAATATTTACATTAATTCTACAAAACAATAAAATCACGGAAATATTTTTTGAATACTTTTGTATTTTTGTCAACACCATCAGTACATAATTTTCCCAAACATGCACAAAAAGGTCCTAAACTATTTACAAATAGCACATTCTAACTTAACAGAATATAAGTTAACTACATGACAACAAACATCAACAGCAAAACATTGGACATTCTGTATACCTCACACTGATTTGGATTTTTATGTTTAAGAATACTTAATAAAGTTTTAAATCGAGGTGTATACTTAGCTACGTTTCGACTACCGCAAACCAAACAGCTTACCTTCGTTCTTGACCCTTCTACAGGGCAACTACAGAGCTAGGCTAGGTGAGTTTCATTTTTGGAGCAGAATGTTTCTTTGCTTGGAGAACCGTTAGTAAGCAAAATCACCCTGTCAATCAAGTTGGGGCTCTGTACCGGACGCACATCCGAAAGTATTTGCAACATTTAATGCTGGGGTTATTTATTATTTATTATTATATTGACATTCGTTTAGCTTACCATTCGTCCTGGTGACCCTTTGTTCGGGAATCAGACAAGAAAATAGGAGGTTGAGGTTAATTCAGACAAGAAAATAGGAGGTTGAGGTTAAATGGAATGAGCTAATCCAACCGTTACATCGTGTGTCAGAAGGGTTTTGCACCGCATTTAGCAATATTCCGGCCATTTTGCAGGGGGACACTAGAACGAGAATCTCCGTGAATATTCCAAGTACAGATTCCAGTTGTGTTACTCAAATCGTCGGCTTGAATTTTCCTGGCGGAAACACCTGTTTCCTACTGATACTCTGTGGAAATTTAACAAGGTAAGCCAACAGTTAATTAGCCATGACATGTGATTAGCAATGGACAAATGGATGCCGGAGTTAAATTATCACTGATTGGAATAAGCAATGAACAAAAATAAAAGGAAGTCATTGGGTTAATTAGCGCCTCTCTCTCTCCGTCATCCGTTTTGTTTTGTTTCTCTCTCTCTCTCTCTCTCTCTCTCTCTCTCTCTCTCTCTCTCTCTCTCTCTCTCTCTCTCTCTCTCTCTCTCTCTCTCTCCCATATATTTCGTGCACGGAAAAACATCTATTTGTATCCAGTGTTGATCTGTGGGAACATTGTCGTGATGATCATATAGAGATTTATTGTCAAGCCAGGCGCACTCTTCGTGAAAGCGGATCTTTTTCTTAGAAAAGTGCGAAAGTGCGAAGAAGCCGTCTTTCAAAATACTATCTCGTCATATCATCTCAACTCTTGAAAAGTTGACAGCTTTTTACCTGCCAGGGATATTCTGTTCTCAACACTTTGGGCAATCCCCCTTACTTATCAAACTGCAAGACGTACAGAGCAACGGAATACTGAACCTGTGTTTCTATCAACGTAAATATTTATATACTTAAGGTACTGTAAGTAAATATGAAATGTGGTCGCATGTGTGTTTCCTTGGAGGGACATGCGTGTATGTCGTGATGCACAGTGACGATGCAGATTGTTGCGGCTTGTGATCTCTATACGTGCATCATGCATTACCATGAATGGAAAATAAGAATCACTGTAGAAGTACACACAGTCAGGCATCACTACATGTGTTATGTGAACACTATTTGGATCAGGTAGGGACAGCAATGCGTGTTTCACAATTGCCCTATTGCCTAATCTTACTAATAACATCAAACATGAAGCATGAAGTCAGAAATACACACTGTGTAAAACACTCAGCCTATCACCGAGTGCAGTCATAAAAAACACATATTTCTACAGATAACACCAATGTAGTCTCACATATTCACCCTGGGCTCAAGTGCACTCATACAAATAACACAGCATCCATGAAGACAACCATGTAGTTAAAGTGACAAACACGCAGTCATACAGGAAAAACATGCCGTATACAGGAAATCAGGCAGTCATACATAAAACCTCACAATCGTACGGGAAACCTCACAGTCATGCAGGAAACCTCACAGTCATACGAGAAAACTCACAGTCATACAGGAAATCAGGCAGTCATGCATTAATCCTCACAGTCATACGGGAAATCATCATGCAGTCATACATTAATCATCACAGTCATACGGGAAATCAGGCAGTCATACATTAATCCTCACAGTCATACGGGAAATCAGGCAGTCATACATTAATCCTCAAAGTCATACGGGAAATCAGGCAGTCATACATTAATCCTCACAGTCATACGGGAAATCAGGCAGTCATACATTAATCCTCACAGTCATACGGGAAATCAGGCAGTCATACATTAATCATCACAGTAATACGGGAAATCAGGCAGTCATACATTAATCCTCACAGTCATACGGGAAATAAGGCAGTCATACATTAATCCTCACAGTCATACGGGAAATCAGGCAGTCATACGGGAAATCAGGCAGTCATACATTAATCCTCACAGTCATACAGGAAATTAGGCAGTCATGCATTAATCCTCACAGTCATACGGGAAATCAGGCAGTCATACATTAATCCTCAAAGTCATACGGGAAATCAGGCAGTCATACATTAATCCTCACAGCCATACGGGAAATCAGGCAGTCATACATTAAACATCACAGTCATACGGGAAATCAGGCAGTCATTCATTAATCCTCACAGTCATACGGAAAATCATGCAGTCATACATTAATCTTCACAGTCATACGGGAAATCAGGCAGTCATACGGGAAATCAGGCAGTCATACATTAATCCTCACAGTCATACGGGAAATCAGGCAGTCATGCATTAATCCTCACAGTCATACGGGAAATCAGGCAGTCATACATTAATCCTCACAGTCATACAGGAAATCAGGCAGTCATACGGGAAATCAGGCAGTCATATGGGAAATCAGGCAGTCATACATTAATCCTCACAGTCATACGGGAAATCAGGCAGTCATACATTAAACCTCACAGTCATACGGGAAATCAGGCAGTCATACATTAATCCTCACAGTCATACGGGAAATCAGGCAGTCATACGGGAAATCAGGCAGTCATACATTTATTCTCACAGTCATACGGGAAATCATGCAGTCTTATGGGAAACCTCACAGTCATACGGGAAACCATGCTGTCTTACGGGAAACCTCGCAGTCATACGGGAAACCATGCAGTCGTACAGGAAACCTCACAGTCATACAGGAAATCGGGCAGTCATACGAGAAACCTCACAGTCATACGGGAAATCAGGTAGTCATACAGGAAACCTCACAGCCATACAGGAAATCAGGTAGTCATTCAGGAAACCTCACAGTCATACGGGAAACCATGCAGTCTTACGGGAAACCTCACAGTCATACGGGAAACCATGCAGTCGTACTGGAGACCTCACAGTCATACAGGAAATCGGGCAGTCATACGGGAAACCTCACAGTCATACAGGAAATTAGGCATTCATATGGGAAACTTCACAGTCATACGGGAAACCATGCAGTCGTACAGGAAACCATGCATCATACAGAAAACTATGACAGGCATACATTTTACTTAGTAAAAAAGCCATAGAACTGCAAGAACTATGCATGCCAATGAAGTTATTGATTATATTTATCTTAGCCGTTGGACTTTATATCAATATAAACATGTGTCATATACAATATCCAAGTTTTCATATGAAATAATTTCATTCAGATATGTTACAGTTTGACATTATGTCAGTAAAGCTTTAGGTAAACAAAGCACAAAGCAATTCCCTGTCAAACCTCATAAATATCAACATGAACTCGTCCTACAGACGTTTAATGTCCAATCACACAACAAATCATTCAATGACAATAGCATATTCCCGGATCGTGTATTCTCTTAGCACCATCGCAAAAAGATCATGTAGAGACCAATGGTCGGAAAATAAGATGGATCTGATTGATCACAACAGCACTCATATTTTCCTACAAAATCATCTCTTGAAAGGAGACAAATGTCAATGAGAATGGCAAATGATAAATGACAACTGTATTTAGTTTTTCTGCCCCCATGGTCCATTGTACTAAGTGCAATAAGACTGGGAGTAGACAACTGTATTTAGTTTTTCTGCCCCCATGGTCCATTGTACTAAGTGCAATAAGATTGAGAGTAATGTTAGCAGCAACATCACTTTAGATACGTGTAGAGCATAACAATATTTATATACATGTGCAACTAGAGAGGAAGATTTCAATTTAAATACATCCCCAGCCCTTCAATGTGTGCAACATTTGGCGAAGATAATAATTGGTACTAGATATTTCCTCTCATTGTGTAGGCATAATAGTATGTTTCAATAAACGTTTTTTGCGGGTAACTGCATAAAAAGGAGAAGCAAGTTTGAGTGAGTGAGTGGGCCTTTGAGAGTATTCCAGTTATATCACGGCGTGTCAACTTAATGTGGGAGGAAAGCCCGAAGTGATGCAGGGTTCAGACGTTTACCACTTCGGTGAAACCCACGAGCACGGGTATGATGCGGACAAACCTGGAAACATAATCGGGGCGAACCGGGATTCGAACACACAATCATATCATAGGTTTCTGGCGTACCCAAGGGACGCAACTCTGCAGTGCGAATCGCGACGCCTTAAACGAGCAAGTTTGAAGTGATATTCATCTTCTATAAGCTGCAAATTGCACCTTCTATCAATCGTGCATTAATATCCACAGTGGGACGAGAGCGACATTGTTGAATTTTCAATCTGTGTGACAAAACAACAAAATTTACAAATCTTTCGGGATCCTTTCCATCTGGAAGATGTAATACATATTTTCAGGTTAAAGAAATGTTTTATAACAAGAGTACGTATTTAAATACGTAGCTAGTATATTTGTAATGTCAAATCAGGAACTGTATATCATTACAACGTTGTACACTTTGATGAATCCAATTTTTACATTTCCACAATCTTGAGTAATCCAAACATAGGAGAACCCAGTATGTAAAACCAACATTCTAATTTTGGAGACCCAACTTATTGTACCATTTTAATCAAATACTTTCAGCATTTCATAACACGCACGTGTGTGATTAGCGGATGGGGTCAATAGATGATAAACGTTTCGCGTAGAGCTAAATTCATCACGAGTAAAGACTTTGACCAATAGGAAATCCTACAGGAAATCCACGCGTAACGCACTTGATACGCGTACAGCTGCTAGCTTTTACGCGTAACGATATTTTATATGCGTAAAGGTAGTTGTTTAGTTGTAGTTGTACTGCTGACACCAATTACAATTCAGTGTATGATTATGTGTAATGCACTTGTTAATCCTTACGCGTAAACACTTTGACCAATGGGAATTCTATGTGGTTTTACGCATATTGCCGGTAGTAATTTACCTGTAAACGTAAATTCATGGATAGGATATACGGTTTACGCGTAACAATTGTGT